CTGCGGTGTCTTGCTCGGCTGCGCGGGGACGCAGGCGCGTGCGGCGCGTAGCCCGACCCCTAGGGGCGCGCGGCGATCCGAACTGAACTCGAATTGATGGTGGCGAACGGATTTCATCACAGGCCACAGGTTTACAGCCAGGGTTTAGTATGGATAATTTAGTAACCCCTTCGTATTAAAAACAATTCACAGTAAAGTGCCCTCTCACTTAGGTTCTCATAGTGTTTTTTCTTACCGGAGGGGTTTCTCTGGCCCAGGCGCTGTCGGCCCTGCCGTACGGAACTGCTGCTCTCGAGGTCGCTGACGTCCTGTCAGAAACGCGGCGGCCACTTTCCGGTTTTCGTCTTGTGATCGCTACTTTCATTGTCTCATCACCTCGGGCGCTCACCCTCCGGGGTTTCTTACAAGGACCGTTGTAGTTGCATCATTGGGGCCACCTGGATGATCTCATCTCAAGACCTTTAATCACCTCTGCCAAATTCTTTTTTCCAAGTAAATTTACATATTCACACAATCCAGGGATTAGAATTTAGACTTCTTGGGTGGAGTAAAAAGGAGGCATTATTGGTCCCACCACAGTTAATGGAGGGGGATGGCCCGAGACTGGGTCTTAAAGGTGAGCAGCGGCCAGATAGTGGTATGTCAGGGCAGGAATGTCTTTCAGCCGCAGCGCTGTGGGTTTTAAGTAGGGGAACAATATCACCTAATGTAAAAGGCCGCCTCGGCTGCTTGTGGAGATTGGACTATTTGGATCAAGAGCTGAAGGCCTCAGCTTTTCATTCCATAGCATCATACAGTAAGCAGATCTCACTCTTGGCTGCACATTTTTACCATCTTGAGAACTTTGAAAAATCCAGATGCCCAGACCAATTATATCTGAACCGCGGGGTGGGAAGGTGGGACCCAGGTATCAGTTTTTTTGTTTTGTTTTGTTTTTTAAAGTGCCCCAGTTAATTCCAGCCTGTAGCCAAGGCTGAGAACTGGTCTCATAGATCTGAATCCATTTTACCTTACTAGCTTTAGTTCCTACTTCAGTTTTCCCACCTTTTACATACTCTGTGGGCTCCTTGTCCATTCCCTGTGCATACTTCATGTGTTTTCACTTCTGAGCCTTTGAACATATACCCAGTCAAGGGACTAGAATGAGCAGGTGACCTACTTGTTCTGTCAAGGCCCGGCTGACAAACTCTCCTTCAGGAAGCCTCTCCAGAGCCTCTTTCCTCTGCTCCCATTTGCACTTATATTTTTCCGGACACTGATCAGTCTGCCATTACAGGTGATTGGCTCCTTTGTGTTGACTCATGCTTCAACAAATACTGTATTGCCTCGCCTGGTGCTCTCCTAGACACTGGGACTTAGAGTGCATTGACAGACCTTGCCCTCCAGTAGCATAGAGTCTGGGTGGAGGTAGGAGTACACTTGCAGTAAGAATATCCTGAGATAATTGTTCAAATGGAGATTTGTTCAAGTGCTGTGGGAACGGGGGAAATGGTATGCCTGGGGATTTCAGGGAAAGTTTCTCCACTAATTCAGTATTTGAGCTGAAATTTGAAAGATGATTTGTTGTTTGCCTGCTGGTGAACTCTGTAGGGAATGGGGAAGGGAAGAGCTTTCTGGGTAGAGAACACATGAGAGGCAGAAGGAGGGGAGAGACAGTGTTTTCAGAACATGTAGTAAACGATTGCTGTAGTGTCCAGTGGGAGTGTCAGAAGGTGAGTAAGGGGGGTGAGATCATGAGATATGTGTGAAGGAGTTTAGTTTTATCCCATACATGTGTGGCACAATAAAAAAATGTGGGCAGGGGAGTGACCTGGTATGATTTCCATGTTAGGAGGATTACTCAGATAATAGGCTGGAGTAGAGCTGAGCATGCCACTAGAAATAGAAGCAGGGAGGCCGCTGAGTGGCTGGAACTGGTAAAGGTATAAAGAGCAGACTGATTGTGGTTGAGGCTGAAGGTGCATTGCAGTGAGCTGAAATGTGCACCACTCTTAGAAGCCTAGTTATGAAAGGAAGGAACACCTTGGAAAGTAGAAGACAGGAAAGATTCAGGATCAGGATTTTTAAAAAATCTTTTTCCTTCTATAAAGGACACTCAGAGAAGTTTATATGCTGATTAGAAAGATCCAATAGAAAGCTTTGAAGATACAGGAAAGTGTAAAGAAGGGAAAATAGATGAAACAAGTCCTGGAGGAGGCAGGAAAAGAAGTGGTTCTGAGCACAAATAGTTGGTTTTGCTTTGGATAATAAGAGGAAGAGTTGTGGGAAGGGGTCAGGGAAATGAGAATGCAAGTCAGATGATTCTGTGAAGAATCCAGAAGTACCGAGTTTCTCCCAGTAGCCTCAGCAGCTCTGACTTTGCAGGGGCATCGTCTATACCCTGGTGGTTTTCTCATAGAGCTCTACAGCTTGGGTTGGGATGGAGACAGCAGATACTTGGATTACAATGTGGGGGTTTTGCCAGATGACCGGGATGGGGGTGAAGGAACTGCACATGCCCTTTTCCTAGGTTGTAAATCCAGATGGCTTTGACCATGTCTTAATCTTGTCTTCCATTTTGACTAGCATGCTGCCTTGCATGTAGTTGGCATGCACATACAGAATTCATTTTGCTTCATGGATATTTAATTTTCTTATTAGGACAGTAATGATGACAGTGAAGATGTTGCACTGTTTGATGCAGAAGAGGAAACAGCTAATCGACCCAAAAAATCCAAAATCAGGTATGAGGATAACTTTTAAGAGTTGTGTTTGTGTCCACTGCTGGTCTGCCTTTAGACTGGTGCCATCTGATGGGATTCAAGGCAGAGTAGTTGTGATGTACTTGTGAATATTGTATGTCATTAGCGTGATCTTTAGCCTGAGACAGAAATGATATTTCAGATTTTCTTTGGGAATAACTGGCATATGGAATTTTACTCAACATTGAGTTTTCAAATCTGCAAATCCAATTCTATGAACACTAGTGTGTTTTTCTTTAAATCCTTTCTGTAGATGCATTATGACATTTTGATTTATTGTGCAAATTTCAGAATTGCATCTTTTGTATAAACTAACATGAAAATACCAAGCCAAACATTTCAATTACAAATTTAGTTCTCTCTAAAGAAATTCACTTAATGAAATCAAATTCTCCCTAAACCTTGAAAACATACTGATAGCCTCCAGGCACAAAAGATCACATATTGTACAATTTCATTTATGTGAAATGTTCAGAATAGGCAAATCTGTAGAGACAAAGTTACATTAATGGTTGCCTAGGGCTGGAGAAGGGATGGGGTTGGGGTAAATGGGGGTGACTGCCAATGGGTAAAGGTTTCCTTTGGGGTAATGAAAAAGTTCTAAAATTGATTGTGGTGGTGGTTGTACAATCTATGAATATATTTAAAAAACCATTGAATTATATACTTTAAATAGGTGAATTGTATGGTATTATTAATTATATCTCAATAAAGCTGTTAAAAAAACAACTCTTCCTGATAGTTACTTTGTCTTAATGTCTAAAGTGATTTCTGAGGGCCTAGAAATTCTTTTGTCAAGATTTTTGGACATACGAAAATAGGATTCAATCCTGAGAAAGTTTATATTCAATGAGGTGTTAAAGTCATGTTTACATAGTGTATTTGCTGTGACAACAGGGCTTAGTCAAATAATGGGACTTAGGAAGAGATGTAGGCGGTTTGCTTCTTCCTCAGTTCACCTCTTTTATTTTGCCCAAACCGCATGGTTATGCTGTGGCTGAAGCATTTTCATCTACATCTGCAGCACCTGTCTAAAATGTAATTGCATTTCTTTTGTTATGTTTTGGTTTTCAGACATCCAGTGGCATCATTTTTCCATTTATTCTTTCGAGTCAGTGCAATTGTAGTCTATCTTCTCTGTGAATTGTTCAGCAGCAGCTTTATTGCCTGTATGGTGACAATTATCTTGTTGTTGTCATGTGACTTTTGGGCAGTCAAGGTAGGTTTGATTGTTTTTATCTTGAAAACATTTACTATGATGAGATTGAATGGTGTATAAACAGTAACAAAATGAAACTTAGCATTTTGGGTTGGTATTAATTTATCTTTTTGTTACCTTAGGCCTCATCTGGGTTAAAGTGCCAGGTGTATAAAGATCACATGCAGGTTATTACACTAGTCACTTGTCTGCCTTATGTCAGCTCACATTAGCTTTAAAATTAAACAAATAAATGTGACTGGCAGCTTTAGACCCTACATAGTGCTTCTAGTCCATTTCACTGGTTTTGCTCCAGGGTCTCCTCCAGCTGTCTAGATAAGACCCCAGCATAGTTTGTTCACAAATATTTAAGGCGTACCCACTGTTTGTGAAGGCCCTAGGGCAGTAGTTCTCAACCAGGGCCAGTGTTTTCCCCCAGGGCACATATGTCAATGTCTGAAGACATTTTTGGTTATCACAGCTGAGGTGAGGGAAGAGTGCTATTTGCATCTAGTAGGTAGAGGCTGGGGATGCTGCTAAACATCTTAAGATGCACAGATTGGACAGCTCCCCACAACAAAGAAATAGCCCAAAATGTCAGTAGTGCTAAAGTTGAGAAACCCTGTTGTAGGGGATTGAAAGGAGAGTAAGAAATGGTTTCAAACTCACAGGCAACGATGAGTAGAGAGATGGATGGATAGAAAGATAGGTGGTACATAGATAGATGGACATGTGATAAAGTAACTTTTCAAACATTAACTGTAGACCCTAGGTGGTAGATATATAGGCATTCACTGTAAAACTAGACTCTTTTGTATGCTTGGAAATTTTCATAGTAAAATAGTGGGGAGGGGGTGGAAATCAAAGGGGGGAAAAGTCAAAAACTGATTTTGGAATTTGAGGCATGTATATTGATTCAAAGACCAGTAAGTTGTGACAAGCCTGTTCACAGCCACCAACACAGCCACTTTTAGATGTTTTGATTCTGACAGATATCAGAAGTGGTTGGCTTGGTGGTGGACAGTTTCCATAGGCCACAAATGCTGAGAATGAAGATTATGGAAGTCTGTTTTCTTTAAGCTTTTCTTTTGTACAGTCTTCTTTGGCTTGATTTTCTTTGAATTTCTTTTGTTGCTTTATGCTCTAAAGTGTTTTCCGTATCTTGGTCACAATTTTGTTTTGAGGAATGTTTCTTTTTGTTGTTCATGTAATTTCTGTTTAGCCAGATAGAACACAGCCTTTAGTCAGTTCTTCCTGGTAATTTCCAAATTCTTATAAATAAATCCTTCTGGATTTAGGGTTTTAAAAATGTGGCCAAAAAGTATATTTTCTGATAAGCTGGGGTTTTTTTTGTTTTTGTTTTTTTAAATGAGAGCTTAAAAAATGTCACCCTTTATCTATGGTAAAATTACTTACTTACAAATATCCAAGCAATTGCTATGTGAAGCACAATTAAAAAGTCAAGATGGGAAAATTATTGAATGAACTTGGGGAGGGGAGTAGGCAGGGTTCCAAACCTAATTAAAACAGAGATGTGTCATAACTATTCTAAATCTCAATATAGTCATCAAAAGAGATCTAATCATTAAAACAACGAAAGGGATAAATAACAAGATAAAATTATTTAAAAATATTTTAATATTTAAATGTTATAGCCTATGTGGTGTTTCTGTTTTATTCCTTACTCTGATGGATTAAAAGAGGTTAAATGATGGTTTAAAATTTTTAATGGTAACTATTGGTAAAATTTAAAATAAGTCCTGTATCTTTCACAACATTGGAGAAAATAAGAGCAACTAAAACAATTTATAAAGCAAGGAAAGGAAAGAAAGTACATGTCAAGGAAGCTTAAATATCACTAGGCGTACTACAAAGTGATGGAAGTAGTAGCAAATTACAGTAAATGTAATATATATATATATATATATATATATATATATACCTTTAAATATCTTTATTGACTTCAGAGAGAGGAAGGTTAAGGGAGGGAGAGAGAGAAACATCAGTGATGAGAGTCATTGATTGGCTGCCTCCTGCACGCCCCCCACTGGGGATCGAGCCCACAACTCAGGCAGGTGCCCTGACTGGGAATCGAGCCGCGATCGCCTGGATCCTAGGTCGATGCTCAACTGCTGAGCCATGCTCAGCCAGGTACAGTAAATGTAATTTGATTAAACTCTTTTTAAAGATAAGAATTCAAAGATTGGGCCCAAAATCAAAAGGCCAACCAAAAAGTTCCAACTAAAATCGTGACATTAGAAAAAGAATAAAGAGCAAAGATAACATTAGAGCAGTTCAAGCAAAAAGCAACTTGGCATTTAGTGCTGCTAGACAGAACAGGGGGAGACAGCAGCTGGGGTGAGAGTCATTTGTGAATCACAGTCGGGTTCATTTGTAGAACGGCATTATATCAAACTACATCTAGGGAAAACCTTAGAAACCCTAGGGGAAGATGGAGGGAGCATTGTTGTGATGGGGTCTAACAAGCCACTGTCTGACCGAGCAAAGCAACAAAAGCTAAATAAAGTTGAAAGGATTTGAATGAAATAACAAGGTGAGTTTAGTAGTAGTATTTGGAACTCTTTGTATACAGGGATAATTTAATAACAAGAGTTCAGTTCCTGTGCAACATTTGCAAAAATTAATCAAATATCACTACAAAGAAAATCCAAATCAATTGCTCAAAGCAGCTACATTTTCTAGCTTAGTGCAGCAAAACTAGAAATTAATAAAAAAAATGGTTGTTGAAACTGGAATTTTGAAAAGAGCCAACCTGCTAAATATCATGACTTAGGAAAAAAACAAAACTGTCTGCCTTTCTACCTGGGATGTTCTCATTTGCACACAACCTTAACAGAGGAATTCCTAATCATTTTTGTGTCACAGGTTCCTTTGACAGTCTCATGAAGCTATGAATAGTATTTTTAAATACATAACAGAAATATATTAAGATTAAATAAATCACTTATATTGAAATGTAATGAAAACATTAAAAAGGCAAATTCCTGATTTTGTCATATGTACTTTATTTGTGCATTAAATAGCAAGATCTAGAAGCAGGTCTAATTACTTTGAAAGGTCTAATTATTTTGTGATACCTACAACAAGTATAGTACAGTATGAAAAATATCTGTGGTTTTTATTGTGACAAAAAAATAAATTGATTCTACCATGGTTAATTATCTGCATTCATAATTTAAAGATAATTTTAGCCAGAAGTTAGTGAAAATAAAGATATAATTTTCCCCCATCCAGGTTCACAGAACCCCTGAATCTATTAGTCGGCACCGCTAATTAAAAATCTCCTGTATTACTGATTCCTACTCACCCTTTAAATTTCATTCCAAATGTTGATTCCTCGGAGAGGCATTTTATAATTCCTGACTAGATCACATTTCCCTATTTACCACACTTCTCTTTTCCCTCACTGTACTCGCCATGTTTGGTAATGGTACATATGTGCACTGGTTGGCTGCCTTTCTTCTCCATGACACTTGAAGCTCCATGAGGACAGGAAAGGTATCTGTTATCATTTTATTACATGCTCAATAAATATTTGTTGAATAAATAAGCATTAGGAAAGCTATCAAAATAATTTGTTATGTTAATAAGAGGAAAAGAACTTGGTACATTTGAGGTACTGAGTGAAGTCCAGTACCTGTAACCATTGCCTTAGTCAATTTGGGCTGCTGTAACATAATACTATATAAACTACAGGAATTTATGTCCCAAGGTTTGGAGGCTGGAGATCTAAGGTCAGGGTGTCAACGTTGGCTTCTGATGAGGGCCCTCTTCTGGGTTCTAGATTGCTGACCTCTCCTTGTATCCTCACTTGGTGGAGAGCAGACAGAGGTCAAAAGATCTCTTTTGATTCCTTTAAGGGCACTAATCCAGTTTATGAGGGCTCCACCCTACTGACCTCATCTAATCGTAATCACTTTCTAATATCACCTGGTAGGGGTAGAGTTTCAACATACAAGTTTTTGTGGGGTGGACATAAACATTCAGTCCATTTTTAGAGATAACAGTTTCAAAATATATGTAGCTACAGTCAGGATATATAGGAAAAATAGGTCTCAGTAGCTAAAGAGCAAGGAGCTTAGGAACACATTAGGGAACTGGAGAAAGGACAAGAATTCATGAGGGAAAAGGAGAGGTGATGTTTATGTACATGCTTACCCTGTAACCTCCATTCTTGCTGGTCTTGCAGTTGCCATTTCGTTTAATCTTTTGTCCAGGCCTGGTATGTAAGGGTCTTTAACTGAATATTAATAGAGGTAAAGCTGATGCTGTTTTGTTTGTGAAATGTTACACTAAGATATGACCTTATGGCCTGGCCAGGTGTGGCTCAGTGGTTGAGCATTGACCTAGGATCTAGGAGATCGCAGTTTGATTCCTGGTCAGGGCACATGCCTGGGTTGTAGGCTCGATCCCTAGCAGGGGTGTGTGTAGGAGGCAGCTGATCAATGACTCTCTCATCATTGATATTTCTATCTCTCCCTTCCTCTCTCTGAAATCAATAAAGATATATTAAAAAAAAAATATATGACCTTATAGTAGATCTTTAAATAATGTTTTTAAAATGTGTGTATATTAATCTTTACCAGAATGTCACAGGTAGACTAATGGTTGGCCTGCGCTGGTGGAATCATATTGATGAAGATGGAAAAAGCCATTGGGTGTTTGAGTCCAGGAAGGTAAACTCCTCCCTCCCCCATTTTTGTGTAGATTATATGTAGATGACATTTGAGTATTTATGGATGAAGTATTCAAGATGAAAGTACTATCCAAATCATTTGGCATATCAACGCTAAACTAGATGGCCTTCTAAAACTAATTATATTTTTCTGGCTATTTCAGACCGGAAACAGTGTGCACGGGAAAGAATCCTGAAGGGGTTGGGTCAGAGTTCATACAGTGTGCTAAGCTGCATGTTGGGGGCTGCTGACAACCGGTCTCTTTCCTTATGTTGCCTGGCCTGGGTTACTGCTTTAGATAGCTTGTCTATCCTTGTTCCCAGGTCCTTTTCCACTTATGAGCAGGAAAAAGAAAGAGGAGGATTACAGTTGGGTAGAAAATCTGAATTGATCAGTGCAGTCTGTTTAAGTGGAACCTGCGAGGGCCCTGGTCTGTTTTGGCTGGCCTGCTTCTCTAGAGTGGAAATCAGTTTGGGAGGCAGAGGACAACAGTCTTAGCTACGTACCGATGAAACTGCTTGCCTTCTGCTTGAAAGGGCTTGACAGATATTTCTCAGAAAGCAGCATATTGCTCAGTGAGCCCATATTCCTTTTTATTATAAAATCTGCCTTATAAACAACTCACCCGTCTAAATTTCGGGGGTTTGTTGAGATACTGTGGTCATTGTCCAGAATCCCTCAATTCCTTTTTTTTCTCTGGACATTGACTTGACCTTTTAGGATGACTGTAGCCTTGACTCCCTTGATTCTCACCTGAGAAGGTATCATTTATAGCTTCCTTATGAATAAACAGTATAAATGCAAGAAGAATTGAATAGAAGCCTGTCAGAGATCATCCTTAAACTGTCTACTATGCCCTGAAAATGCAAAATTCTTGATTTAAAACAAGAGTTGTACTAGTGGTAGGTCTACTAAGTGTTTTTGGGGGATGAGTGATGGATGTGGGTGGTTTTAACTTAGGACTTGGGTTGTGTGTATTAATTTATTTGAATTTGAGGATAAGGTGTTTTTCATAAAAAATTGTTAAATTTCTTTCTGATAAATGTCATAAAACATAGGCTATTAAATTCATGTTTTTGTATAGGCATCCCCTCAAGATAATAAAACTGTTTCAGAGGCTGAATCAAGAATCTTTTGGTTAGGACTTATTGCCTGTCCAGTGCTTTGGGTGATATTTGCCTTCAGCGCTCTCTTCTCCTTCAGGCTGAAGTGGTTGGTGAGTATCAGTGTGTAACTATTGAATAATCAGTCCATTAAGATGTTTGATGGATAATCATAGTAAGCAGCCATCTTTGTTAACATCAGGGACCTGTCTTGAATAGGCAGCTTGATCATGTATTTCCCAAGTTGATGGGCAGAGTCCTATTAAAGACCCCATTTCACCGTTCTCCAGGTACCTAGCAGAATTTTGATTTAACTCACCTGGTACAGAGATTACTGTATTTATCACATTATTATCTTGTTGGATGAGGATGTTTAGTAATCTCCAGACAAACATGTTTAGTTTAGTTTGGAACTAACAGAGTGGTCTTTTTGAAAATATTGGTTGCTAACCTGTTCTGGCTATCGCTTATATAGTAAACCTTGCCAAAATGTAGTGGCTTAAACATCAGCAGTCATTGCATGATATCTCTGTTTCTCTGGTTCATGAGCTTGGGAAGGGCTTGTGTGGAAATTCTGGCTTGGAGCCTTACATAGTTGCGGTCAGACAACTGCATGGGTGCTGGGGTGGCTGGGAGCTGAAGTGGCATCTCTTCATGAGGTCCACGGCCTCCCACATGGTCTGAATACATGCTTGGGCTTCCTCATAGCCTGATGGCCCCTTGGCAATTAGACTGCTTACTTGGAGGGTCAAAAGCTCCAATTAAGAGTGTTTCAGCTTACAATCTGAGTTACCTTTTATAACTGTATGAGTTTGCTTGGACTGCCATGACAAAATACCACAGACTGGGTGGCTTAAACAACAAAAATTTATTTTCTTACAACTCTGGAGCCTGGAAGTCTCAGATCAAGGTGTTGGTAGGGTTGGTTTCTTTGAGGCCTCATTCCTTGGCTTGTAGGTGGTCATCGTCTCTCTGTGTCTTCCCTCTGTACATGCCTGTGTCCTGTTTTCCTCTGCTTATAAGGACATCAGTCATATTGGATTAGGGCCCACCCTAGTGACTTCATTTTATTTTAATTACCTCTTTAGAGACCCTGTCTTTAAATATAATCATATTTGGGGGTACTTCATATTCCGTTAGGACTTCAACATATGAACTTTGGGGGGACACCATTCAGCCTATAATAACAACCTAGCCTCAGAAGTCACAGCATCACTTTGCTACCTATCCTTATTCAAAGGAATGGGAATTGGGCTTCACACCTCGATGTGGGGGTTAAAGAAGGTTCTAGAAGAGCATGTGGAATAGGAGATACTGTTGCTACCATCTTTCTAAAATATAATCTGTTATTTGACCCAAACTGTGAGTCTTGTTCTTTTAATGGTTAAGTTTGTCTCACTTAACTATTGATACCAGTATAATTTGGCCTTAATTATGTTTTTTGACCCTATTTTTTTATGTTTTCTTATTCCTGTTTTGCTATATAGGCTCTCTTTTTCTTTGTGAGTACATATATATAAATACTTTCCCTTTTTCAATTTGGAGGGTTTATTGTCTACTTCTAGTTTTTCTAGTATTTATTACATGTTTGTATTATACCTTCTTTCATGAATTAGGAAATGTATTTAATATCTGTTGATTTTCTTCTATGGAGATGGTAGAGTTAACACTCATGGTTTCTCTCACCTTTGCTCTCTACTTCCACCTCTGGGTTTTTGTTGATTATACAGTTGGCCCTTGAACAACACGGGTTAGGGGTGCTGACCCCCACGCAGTTGAAAATATGTGTATAACATTTGACTTCCCCAAAACTTTACTACATAGCCTTACTTTAGTTATTTTAAGCAATACATTAAACCTGTTTATTGACTTACAGACTTTGTTTAGAAAGGAAAGGAAATAATATACTGTTAACTCCCTCCTTTGTTTCTTCCTTTCTATCACCTAAGTTTTGTTTTTTCCAGTATTTTTGTTGTTGTCAAGGTTTATAACAGTTACCTTTTGAACAGTATTTCTGACTGGTTTATTCTTTGATCTTCAGTATTTTAAAATACATTGATTCAGTCTTTTTATTGCAACTTTTCCTTTTACCTCCTGGATGGTTGGCTAAATTTCATTGTTGGGTGATTTTATTTTATTTATTTATATTTATCTTTATTGTTGAAAGTATTACAGGTGTCCCATTTTTATCTCCCCAATTGACCCCCTCCACTTCGCTCCAACCCCCTCCCGAAGCCTTCACCCTGTTATTGTCTGTGTCCATGGGNTCGCTCCCACCCCCTCCCCAGGCCTTCACCCCATTATTGTCTGTGTCCATGGGTTATGCATATATGCATATAACTTCTCTGGTTAATCTCTTCCCACCCTCCACCCCCCCTTCCCTGTTCCCTCTGAAATATGATTGTCTTTTGCGCATGTCAGTTTCTCTGGATCTATTTAGTCTGTCAGATTCTTTTGTTTATTAGCTGCTGCTTAAAGAAGACCCTTCAACATTTCACGTAATACTGGTCTGGTGGTGATGAACTCCTTTAGCTTTTCCTTGGCTGAGAAGCTCTTTATCTGACCTTCAATTCTGAATGATAGCTTTGCTGGGTAGAGTAATCTTGGTCGTAGGTTCTTGTTTTTCATCACTTTGAACATTTCATGCCAATCCCTTCTGGCTTGCAAAGTGTCTATTGAAAAATCAGCTCATAGTCATATGGGTGCTCCCTTGTAGGTAATTAACTGCTTTTCTCTTGCTGCTTTNTGTTTTTCATCACTTTGAATATTTCTTGCCACTCCCTTCTGGCCTGCAAAGTTTCTGTTGAGAAATCAGCTGACAGTTGTATGGGTGCTCCCTTGTAGGTAACTAACTGCTTTTCTCTTGCTGCTTTTAAGATTCTCTTTGTCTTTAACCTTTGGAATTTTAATTATGGNTGGTGTGGACCTCTTTGGGTTCCTCTTGTTTGGGATTCTCTGTGCTTCCTGGACTTGCAAGTGTATTTCTTTCCCCAGGTAGGGGAAGTTTTCTGTAATTTTTCAAAGAGGTTTTCAATTTCTTGCTCTCTTTCTTCTCCTTCTGGCGTCCCAGTAATACGAATGTTGGGCCTCTTGAGCTTGTCCCAGAGGCTCCTTATACTGTTTTCATATTTCTGGATTCTTTTTTCTTTTTGCTCTTCTAGTTGGGTGTTTTTT